AATCCAGCAGAAATATAATGCAAGCTATAAATGTAATTGCAAATCTTCTAGTAGCCATGGTAAAAAGAAATAGGTAAAGTTAATTTTAGTAATATATCCATTTTATCAAAACTCCCAAAATAGCATTTCATATATAATCAAAGGTCTATATTAATGAGACAATTTATTAACTTTTAAACTTTTTTATACAGTACAGATTTCACATGTGTAGCGTGTTTCAATCTGGAGCAGCTACATTTCACGTGTGGCAAGCGGCTACCATGCTGGTCCACAAAGACACTGCATGTATGATCCACTTTTTTTTTTTTTTTTGGTACCAGGGATCGAACTCAGTACCTTGTGCTTGCGAGACAGGCAGGCCCACTGAGCTAAGTCCCCAGCCCTGTGATCCACTTCTAAGGGCACAAACCAGAGACAGAAGGGAGAGGCAGACTGGTGGTGTCCAGAGATTTTTTAGTACCCTGTCATGATTTTTTCTTATTTCTTCTTGCTGCCTTAGCTTCTTAGCTCCAAATCAAAATTAGGAAAGTATGTTACATTACTAATCATTCTAAAAGGTATAAATCTTAAGCCACAGTCCTAGACTGTGGAGAAGAAAAGGTTGTGTGCCTTTGGGTGAAATGAGTACCAGTCAACTTCCATCCCCATGATAAAGGGGAAGCTGACCTTGGCTCACGGTTTCGGAGGGTCCAGGCTTGACCAGTTAGGCCGTCACTCTGGGGCTTTGACCAGACAGCCCATCGTAGCCAGAAAGCAAAGGGCACCAGGAAAAGGCCGGGGTCCCACAGTCCCCTCCAAATCATGGCCCCCCAGTGACTGCAGAGCCTCTCGTGGGGCACCACTTCTTCAGGTTTTGCACCTCCACTAATGCCACCCGGGGACCAAGGGAGTCTTTGGAGGACAGGCAGGATCCAAACTACAGCATCAGGGTTAGATGAAGGCTGGGGTCTGCCTTGTACAAGAGGAGCTGCTTCAAAGGGATATTTTGGGCAGGGGAAGAGTCCTTGTGCTAGGAATGGGGAGCAGGAATAGGGATTATGGGTTATTTAGGTGAGAGGACAGCTTGAGCCCAGGAGTTTGAGACCAGCCAGGGCAATGTAGCAACACCTCATTAAAAAAAAGAATGACTAGGGCCAGGGATTTAGCTCAGTGGCACCACGCCTGCCTTGCAAACGCAAGGCTGTAAGTTCGATCCCCGGTACCAAAAAATAAAAAATAATAAAAGAATGACTTATATACCTGAGCTTCAAAGAGATACCCATTCTTCCCACCTTCACCCCCACCACCAGCCTCCTTGGTCACCTATCAGGTGACAGCTGCACTGAGAGCAAACAAAGAAGGTATAAATCCTAGAGTAGAGGCAGAGCCAGAATTGGCCACAGTGAAAGAACAGATCTGATTCCATGACCACAAAAGAAGTTTTCATATGTACCCTGGAACACACAGAGAAACTTTACTAAACACATTCATCAAATTTTGCTTGTGGTATTGGGGATTGAACCTAGGGCAAGCTAGGAAAGCAGTCTACCTCATCTCACTCAGTTGCCCAGGCCAGCCTCAAACTTGTAATCGTCCTGCCTCAGCCTCCTGAGTAGCTGGGATTATAGGCATAGGACACCACACCCAGCCATATTTATCAAAAATTTGTGAAATCTTTTGGGATATCAGGATTTCACGAATGTGTTTAGAATAAAAAGTCATGCCCTCCAACTTCTCAAGAGATATGGAAGCACTGGATTAACGGCACCTAAATTACTGGTTCTACTGAAATCTTCAACTTACCCAGAGGTAAATAACACAAGGTATCCTACTCCAATATTAACTATGAATATATTAGAGAGAAAGTTAGAAAATTTGTATGAAAATATTAGCTTATTCATACTGGGAAGAAGTAAAATTATGAGGTTAAAAATCAGATCATCACTTATAACATAAAAATATTGTCCTCATCTTCTACATAAAAACTACCAAAAGAGCACTCTAAACTCCTGAATCAAAGACACAATGGGTGTTGACCCATTGCCAATTAACAATTTTTACTGGCAAAAACATGCTAGGATCTGTTTCCCTCTGTGTCCACCAATCAACCCTGTGGCCTGCATGGAATTTGGTAGGTGGATGGCAGGCAAAGCTCAAAGCTCCTGCTTCTCCAAATTGCTGTCCAGCAGGCAGACTGCTGGCGACACCGCAGCTGAAGAAAGGAGACCAGCATCTCTTGGAAATGAGCTGTGAGTACCAGAGGCCACAGCCTGGTTTCAAAGTCCTAGGTCCCTTTCAAAGTCTGTATTAAACTGGCATTATAAGAAGGACAACTACTTAAGCCAAATGTCTGTACCCTAAAAGAGTTGGTAAAATCTCTCATCATGATATGTTTGTATGAGCTTTTTTATTTAAAATTGGTTTCTAATGTAGATGTCCTTTCAAATAGTAAACATGAAGTATGGAAAATAAAACTTTTAAAAAATGAAACAAATCTTATTTTTATTATTAGAAGAAGGGTGTTGTTCTTTTTTCAGTGCTGAGGATGCAGCCTAGAACCTTGCACACAGTAGGTGAGCACCACACACCACTATACTATGCCCCCAGTCCAAAAGCAGGGGTTTTTATTCTTTCTTTTTGGGGGGGTGGGTACCGGGGATCGAACTTGGGTCCTTGCGCTTGCACAGCAGGTGGTGAAACCACTGAGCCAAATCCCTGGCCCCTTTTTTTTCTTTGTTTTTTGTGGGTTTGCTTTGGTACCGGGGATCAAACTTGGGTCCTTGTGCTTGCGAGTCAGGGGGCAGAACCACTGAGCTAAATCCCCGGCCCTCCTTTTTTTTTTTTCTTTTTAACCTTAAATTCTAGTTTTTTCTGTTTAAAGTGACTTTTTTTGTGGGGCCAGGACCGGGGATAAAGTAGTCCACTGTGGTACATCCCTGGGCCCGCTCCCTGCTGTTAAAAATATCTTTCTTTCCCAGGCTGGCTTCAAACTTGCCATTCTCTTTTCCCAGCCTCCTAAACAGCTAGGATAATGTAAAGCTGATTATAATTTTACCACATTTTTTCCTGAAAATAAGGTCCAGAAAAACCCCCACTTATTCCAAATATTGGAGACTGTTTTAAGCTGAACCCTCACCAATAGCCTGGGGCAGGGCCTGCAAAGACCTCCTGGATTTGGATCACAGAAAAGCTCTGAGATGCTACATTGTCAATCCCCAATCTTAAATATCTTCTAAATGAAGAGTTATTGAACCTGAGCATCAAGGGTGTTTTCCTTCATTATCATGAGTTTCTCAATCTGCAACTGGGCCTAGGGGCAGTTACCTCCTCTCTTCTGTCCTTTGTGTAAGATGTCAGGACTCGTGTATGGGCAAACTAGCATGTGCATAGACACTGACATAAACGTGTCCCACAACAATACTTACTTTGACTTCATATAACGTAGTCTGATTTTTGAAATTCTATTCCATTCTCTTTATGACTTACTAAATTGATTTCAAGATCTATTAATGTGTGTTGTGACTTGTAGTTTGGAAACCACTGGCTAAGGAGCGTTACTGCAAGGGGAACAGGCTACCAAAAGCTGAATGAATAAAGACTATCTACACTTTTAAAAGATACAAAAAGAAATAGTGACTGCAAAACTTAAAACCACTAGAACTTGGAAGTAGCCAGGTCCTCTGAGAAGCAGACACCAGACACCAAGACAGGAGATGTGCAAAGATTTATTAGGGAAAATGACTGGGAGGGCAAATGAGGGGGGATGTGGGGCAGGCGAGAGGGGCTGTCTCATTGGGGTGGAGGTCTGACCCCGGTGAGGGGGAGAGGTGGGGGACTGGGTGGGCACCGTGGTCACTTCAGCTGCAGCACAGCTCAAGGAAAACTCAATATCTAGGGCCAGGGATTTAGCTCAGTGGTTCTGCAGCCTGCCTAGAAAGTGCAAGGTCCTTAGTTGGATCCCTTTACCAAAAAACAAATTCAACATCTAATAAACAATAAATATTCCAATGGAGAAAAAAAATCACTAATAGCTATTACTGGAAAGTTGGACATTAGTAAAGAAAAAAATCTTAGATTCATAGCTCATCCTTTATACAGTATAGGAACAACCGTGTAAGTATACTTGTTGACAAAATTATCTTTGAAAATGTAGGGGATGCAGAGAGAGATAAATCATGTAGTGAGTTCTTTTCCTATGAGTTTTTTTTAAAACTTGTGCAGCTGGGTGTGGTGGCACACAGCTACAATCCCAGCACGGAGGAAGTCTGAGGCCAGGGGATCACAAGTTCAAATCCAGTCTGGGCAACTTAGTGTGATTCTGTCTCAAAATAATAATTTTTTAGAAGGGGTGAGGATGTAGCAAAGGCCCCTAGCTTCAATCAAAGAAAAAGAAGGAAAGAAGAAGAAAAAGAAGAGGAGAAGAGGAAGAGGAGGGAGAAGGGGAAGAAGGAAGAGAAGGAAAAGGAGGAGAAGAACAAGGAGAAGAGGAAGAAGAGGGAGAAGGAGAGAGGATTCAGGAAGAAGAAGTTTGGGGTCAAAGGTCAAAGCTTTCCAATCTCTGATCCAAACCTTCCTGTGATGAGACTCCTCTTTAAATTTTAATTACAGTAGTGGAGACATTGTCATCCTCAGGTAAAAATGACCTTCCCACAGAGTCATCTTAAAACCTGCCCAGGGCTGCTCATCCTCACAGCTGCGTTTGCTGTGGATGAGCAGAGCAGCCAGCCCCACCCCTGCATCACTGCCTCATCACTGGGCCTGGCTGGAGGCTGCCGAGTAGCCCAGGTTGGCACCAGGAACCATCCCGCTCAGGTGGAGAGCAAGACTCCTCTGAGAGACCAAGACTTTTATCCTAAGCAGGGGAGAGCCTTGCAATTATCAGCAGAGATTCTGGAACTCCCTCCATCCTCACTTCCTCTCTCAAAGGAGCCTCACTTGTGCCCAGGTACCACAGCCACACCAAGGGAACACTTTCTCCAGGGCACCAGGAAGCAGCTGGAAAGGGCAGGGGGCGCGCTTACTTTCGGCAGCACATGTGATGCCTGTCCGGCATGCCCAAGTTCAGCACAAGGACGCAGTACTTCTTGGCCAAGTATTTCTGGGCTGCTTCTAACTTGCTCAAGACCAGCTCCATCTCCTTTTTCTCTACGAGACCCCTGGGGAAAAAGAAGACAATCTAGATTAATTTGAGCAAATGCTTGTATCAGTTAGCAAAAAGTCAGAATCATAAACTATTTTGAAATAAGTACTACAGAGTCATCAGATTTTCCCTTTCTCGTTTAATTTGTTTTATAAGAGCTGCGGCTTAGGGAAACCCTCCAAGTTCCTTAATAGTGATTATTCGTGGGAATGAGCATCTCAAGTCTATGGCGAATTTTCCCTTGTTTATAATTCTTTAATTGTTATGCTAACTACATATCCTCAGTTTTATATACGACTCATCCTAACTTTCACAGAGTAGCCCAGCTAAGAAAGTTACCAAACTGGTTGCGCAAGCAGCTGCCAGCTCACTTCCCGCTGTCTTCCTAAAACATCTGGGCAGACTGGTGCCCCAGGTTCCCGGTTCCTTCTACATTTAGGGCCCCATACCTGGACTCACTTCCCAATTCATCTGTGTTTGCTAAGGAGCCGTTTGTGGACCGCTGGTTGGGAACTCTGGCACCAATTAGAATAACATTGCTAGGTGGGGATTTAGCTCAGTGGCACCACGCCTGCCTCCCATCCTGAGTGTCATCCCAGGTACAAAAAAAAAAAAAAAAATTGTGTCCCTATGAAGATACAGCCCCATGCTAACTGAATTGCAAATGAGCTTTCTAAAAGACAATCTATCCTTAGGTTACAGCTCTGAGAGCTAATTTTAAGTTTTAGAGTACAGCATAGGAGGAAACAATGTTGCTGACAACACCTTCCAATGCATGCTACTAAAAAGTGAAGTGTCACCAGGTGCCAGATGAAATAAAATGCTCTCTAAATAGGGACACACAACTGTCTCTCCTGAGGTCAACCATGTCACTCACTGCACAAAGGTATGCTGCGAGGGGAGAGAGCGAGTTTAAGGGTAATATGACTCTTTCAAAGCACAGAAAACATTATTACATGTGATGAGAGGCTTGCAAATCACTGGAATGAAGTGTTTCTGGAATAAAGTGGGCTCCAACCTTAAGTACCCAAATGCCACAAACTCCACACCCGTCTCCCTATGCACACCAATGGCCTTGTCCCTGGGCCTGGCTCCCACTTCCTTCAACTTCTTACCCTTCTCATCACCCTATACGCTACAGCTGCCGGTAACTCCTACTCTTCTTTTGCTGCAGAAAGAATAACCAAAGAATGCCTTGAAACTCTGGCTAATGGTTCTCAACTTCTGGTTAATGTATAAATTACTGAACAGTCACCTGGGGTGCGTGCTACAAGTACAGATTCCTGGTGCCACCCCCTCTTCAGCATTCTAGACAGAGCCCAGGAAACATAAAGCAATTGCTCTCAAGTGACTCTGAGGCAGGAGGTCCCTGGGCCACATTTGGAAATAGACACAAGAATCAATGTGTTGAAGCAAGAAAAAAAGGAAAAAGTGATGGGGAAAAAAAGGCAGCAGAAGGTAACCTAGACACAAAATTCCAGGTGGAGTTGTGTGGCCCATATCAAGATTCTGTGTCTGAAAACTACTTCCCCATGCTGTGCTGTTGCCATGTTCTTCCTTCTTTGTGTAACACGGCCTTGCACATACTCCTTGATTAGCTGCCAGTTAGTGCTCACAGGGACTAACAAGCATATGCCTTAAAAATGCAGATGATCATGGGCCAGGGATTTAGCTCAGTGGCACTGTGCCTGCCTCATAAGCACAAGGTCCTGAGTTCGATCTCCGGTACCAAAAAAAAAATGCAAATGACCATACTAATGAGATCTTATTAACACTGATGTATTCATATATTGTTGATAACAGAAAAGTGGCATAACCCTGTGAAAAAAATATTTGAAAAGAATTTAAGAGTAGAAATGATCATACATTTTGACCCAATAGTCTCTCTCCTAGAAATTTTTTTAAAAATCATTCAAAATTGGAAGGTAAGGTTATTCTCTGCATGAAGATATTCTTTATAATTATTGTTTATCTAGCAGAAAAACTGGAAACTGCCAAGATATATAAATAAAGGGAGACAGGGCCAGGGATTTAGCTCAGTGGTTCCGCTCCCTGCCTCGAAAGCCAAGGACCAGAGTTCGATCCCCGGTACCAAATAAATAAATAAATAAATAAATAAATAAATAAATGGAGACAAGGAAGAGTCACATAGTCAAGAACTGTGTAAAGGCCTGGCATTTATTGTCATCATCTATGAGCGAGTCCCTGTGAGACTGATCACAGGCACCAAAATCTGTACCCTTTGCCCCGATAATATCCTGCCCGTGAGGAGGTAAGTCAATCCATCCACACTGGCCACCATGAAAAGTTATAAACAAGAAGACTGTAATAACTTGAGAAAGGCTTATGATAAAAGAGTGCCTTTGTTCAGAGGTTATAAATCCTAACTCTGAAGGGACAAACTTTGAAAAAGTGAAGCTAGTTGATTGGCAGTGGGCACTGGGCATGTTGTACAGTGGTTTGTGTACCGTCTTCAGAGTCAGACCTGGGTTCCAATCTAAACTCTCTCATGTTAGGGAGGTAACTCCCAACAAGCCATTTAGCCTCTTTGAGCCTGAATTTCTCCATCTGTAAAGTAGGGAGAAGGTCTCTTCTTCTGGAATTTGGGTGTTTACTCATTTAAAGTCATCCAGGTGTATCTTTTACACCACCTCTATCCCTTTCTGCTGCCCTCTCCCAAGCTGCAGGCTTTCCTCCCGGGGGCAAGCCCCGGAGAAGATGATAGGCACTGTCTTGTTTAGTTCTGCAGGACTCTGTGAATTAGATGCTGCATTACTCCTATCTTCTCCCTTACCACTTTGACTAAAATCAGGGTGTTTTTCTTCTGTATCAACACCTGAATGCAATCTATATTTAGTTCTATATAACAAATAAACTGGCCAACTACTGGAATCCTAAAAACAAAAGGTTATGATTACTTTTTAGACTCAAATCATAGCATCGATAATTTTAAGGCTCGGGTTGGTTTGGTTTTTGTCATTCTATAATTGATTCCATAGTCTTGTACCATTGTGTTCTAGCAAGTTTTTAAAATAAGAAACCTTTCTTTTCTGTTACTTATAAATTAAAATATAAAATAAATCTCCTTGCTAGATTAGTAGTCACCCTCAGAATTAGAAAAGGTCTGGTAATATGTGACAAGCCAAAGAGCACCAAAGAGTAGTAAGTTTCTATTTGGGAAAAGTGAGCCTTTTCAGGCCTTCCCAGCCCACAGCTAGCTTCAGCCCTTATGCTCGCTGCCATGGAAACCCTTCCTGCCCCACTGTGAAACTCCGCCCTGGAATAACACTCACACTGCTAGTAAGGATGGCTTTCAGCAGAAACAGGGCTGGAATTATGCATTTGATTCTTTATAAAAGTGCTGTCCAGGAACATTTATCTATCCGTAAAATGTTTTGCAGGCTGATTATGTAGGAGAGTTTTGCATTTTGAAAACATTCTGCAGCAGTTGGTCAATGGTTCTACCCAGCATTCCTAACAGCTAAATCATTGGGTTGGTTCCGAGTGTACCGGGGAGGGCAGCCTCGGCACTTGTAAAGTTCCACAGCTTGTGAAAGGTCACCAAGCCGGAGAGGCATTGTTCTGCTCTGGATTCTGAGTGCCCCAGTTCTTGCCTTGGGTGGACTCCGAGCCACCTCAGCCTAAAGCAGTTCCGTCCATTAGAAACAGCCCAAGAAACCTCAGGGGGTTTTTTCCTGTGATGTGGAATGTCATTTTGACCAGATCTGTTATTTTTTAAATTTTTGTAGCTTTTAAGTTAGAGGCATAGAGGCATAGAAACCCTTGAGCAAAAACTCTGTGAGCAAAAACTCTGTAACCACAAACACCATACAAAAAATTCTAAGTACACTACTCTGTCCAGTAGCCACTAGCCATGTACAGCTGTTGAATACCTGATGTGGCTGGCTGAGTCAAGACGTGTTGTGAGTGTAAAGCAAAGACCAGATTTCAAAGACTTATTTTTTTAAAAGTAAAATAACTCATTAATAACTTCCTAAGATTGACTATATGTTGCAAAGATAATAGTTTTGAGTCATTGAGTTAAATAACTTAAAATTAATTTCATCTGCAACTTTTTTACATTTTTAAGACACAGTTATTAGAAACATTCAAATTACACATGTGGCTTTTGTTATGTATCATTATTAGGGAATTCTGGTCTATATTAGTTGGGATATTTTGTTATAGAAACATACATGTATAAAAAAAAAGAAATATACATGTATATTTCAGTGAACTTAAAAACTGGCAAACTTAAACTCCAGAGATTTAAAAAAAATCCCATCATTCCTTCACACTAGATAAAAGTGATAATAAAATGCTAAAGCACGTCATAGAATCTTACTTACACCATATAGCTTTTGGGTTTCTTTTCCAGTGAGTTTTTTTCCAAGTAATGAGACAAATAGTACAATAATGCCATGAGGAAAATGTCGAGATTTTTATTCCTACAGAGAGATTGGGGGTGGGGGAGAAATCCATGCTAATCTATTTTAAATAGCAGATTTGTCATAAAAATATATATGGACACACCACAGAAGAATATGTAAGTAGAAATATATGTTATGCCTATCACACAACTAATTTGCCACTTAAGTTTTTCTACCATACTACTGAAGATTTAACAAATCTGATTTTTAAAAATTAAATTTGGAAGTCAGACACTAAATTCTTACAGTTATGCTTATTAATTAATTTTCACTTTTAAAAAGGTATACAAGTAATATATTTCCATTGTTTAAAAAGTGCACAGAAACATATGAAATTAAAACTTCTCTTTTCTCACCCCTTTGCCACCATCCTACTCCCTAGTGGAGCCACTTTTAAGAGTTTGGAATGAATTCTTCCTAGACCTTCTAAAGCATAAGTAATCACATATCACATCCTTCCCTAGATACACACATCGGCATGCGTATACGCCTTGAAGGGCCTTTTCCTGGAAGTACTGGGATAATGCTGTCCACATGATTCTTCTTTGCAACTTGCCTTTGTCATTTGTGTGAGTAGCACGTACCTTTCCTCATTGTTTTAAACAGCTGAATAGAGAATGCTGCATCTCATAAGTTATTCAACTAGTCCTCTACCAATGAATATATAGGTCTTTAAAGAATATTCTAGACAGGGGATGGGGTATAGCTCAGGGATAGAGTATGTGCTTAACAAAGAGGAACTCTATAAATAAATAAATATTTTAAAAACAAAAGTGAAATTACATATGCATATTAAATTTTATGTTTTGCTCTCCAGAAAGAGTATAGTGATTTACAATGCTATCACATTTGTTTTTTATTAGAAGCCATTGTTTTCTTTCTAAATATTCTTACAAGACTTTTTGGTGCTGTCTTTCTAGTCCCAAATGGATTTTTTTCTTTTGTGGTACTAGGGATTGAACCCAGGACCTTCACACTGAGCTATCTCCCCAGCCCTTTCAATTTTTTATTTTGAGACAGGATCTTGCTAACTTGCCCAGGCTGGGCTTGAATTTGTCATCCTCCTGCCTCAGCCTCCCAGAGGGCTAGAATTACAGGCCTGCACTTTGCCAGGCTACCAAATAGAAATTCTTACCCTGGCCTGCTTTCTTTAGCTATACAGTACCTGTAGAGCAGGATGAAGGTCACCATTACCTTTTTTTTTTTACCCAGGATATTAATAACTACCACAAAATAGGTTCCCCTCAGAAAGTAAAGTCATTTTTTGCAGAAAATGATCTCAGGGAACAGCAATAAGGGATTGAGGGAATAAGACAGGAAGGGTAGTAAGCCAGCACAGGCAGTGTTGACAAGTCACCACTGTAGACACAAGCAGTTTGGTTCTACGGGGACTCTGAGAGCTGGTGTAGACAACATCCTGAAGTTGTCCCGACAGAGGGAAGCTGTTATTTTCCCAGCTCCCCACACTGACCTGCATGTCCTGCGGTCAGGCCTGGCAGACAGTCTCCAGTGCCCACCTTTGTGTGAATGCACGCTTGCTGGATACTCGCAAGTGCACATGCCAGGGCACAGGGTGTGGCTCAGCGTTAGAGCATTTGCCTAGCACATGTGAGGCCCTGGGTCCATCCCCAGCACAACAAAACATAACCAAAGCAAGTGCAGGTGCCTTGTGAAGCATAGCCACACACAGCTATATGAAGGAAACATTATCTATCACTTCCCTATTTTGTAGCTAAGATGCTTTGAAAGCTCAAGAATATCCAGAGTCACAGACCTAGTACTTTTTGGGACTGCCAAACATAGCTGGCAGAGACAACTGTTCTATGATAAATGGGTCTCTCCGCTGACTGTTATACAAGAATAGTGCAGTCCATAAAGGACTGTTACACCCAGCTTTCTATACTCCCTGCCCTAGGGGTTCCTGTGACTTGGGGCTCCCATGACTTCTGCCTTCCTCTCCCAGACTCTCTGGTCTCTGTGTTTGACACTTCTTTCTGAGAGGATGGCTTGCAAACAGCCAGCCTCATGCTTTTTCTCTAAAAATCATTATCTGTCATCACTTACCACATGAAATTACCGCAAAATAAAGAGGGAAATATCCACTGTATCTCCCAACATTCCATACCTCATAAACGTTGTAAAAGAACAGATCCGCTGCATCTCAGTATCTTGTAGCAAAAACAAAGCAACAACTGAAAGAAGAGATGGACAATTGAAGGAGGGGCAAAAAGCTGCCTTAGATAGCACGGGGAAGGAGGAGAAGAGTTACTTACACTTAACATCATCCAAGGTAACATGGCCCTGCTGACCTCGTTTCTCTAAGGCCTTTGCTGACTTATCATCTCTTGAAGAAAGCCTTTTATCTGTCAACCTGTTATGGCATACAGGAATGTTTTTAAAGGCTTTAGTTGTATCTAATCTATCCTGCCATGCATGAAGCATTTACTATAAAATAACGGGAGCCTGAGTATCATGCATGGGCTTCATCTAATGTAATACCCTTTAAAATGCATTTCATTAAACATTATGTTTATTAGGGCAGGGTAGAAGGCATGCAGATTCCTGATAAAGGATGTGAACATGGGGCTGGGGAATAGTTCAGTAGTGGGGTACTAGCGTAGGCCACAACAGTGCCCTGGGTTTGGCCCCAGACCCCCCACAAAAAAACAAGACACAAATCTTATCCAAAATAGATTGTTTCAATCATCTGTTCTGGTATAGATAAGATTTTCCGATTTTAAAGGCATTATGAAAAGTAGAAAAGTTTCTAGCAGCCAAGTTTTCACACAGATACACTTAGGGACTATGTGTAGCTCCCTCACACTTCCGAAGTGCGTCTGTTTTCCCTTGACAGGCATTTTTCCTTGATGGATATTTCAACTGGGGATCATGGGACTGGCATCTTCTTAGAGTCTGTAAAGACTTAAGTGGTCCCCCTGAGAGGGGCCTTCAGCAGCCCTGGAGGGATAAGAAGTGAAGCCACCTTTCTGAAGCTGGGCCATCCATTTCAGCAAAGTGCACTGCTTTCCCTTTCTTTCCCTTTTCCTTGGGTTCTATTGTGGGTACAAAACTGCAATAGAAAGGGGATAATTAGGAACTTGACTTTTCTAAGGGAAGATGAATCATATCACAACCATAGCTCATGCAGTAGTAGGACTAGCATCAATTATTTTTTTTTTTTTTTAATTTTTTTAGACAGGATCTCACTGTGTAGTTCAGGCTGACCTTGAATTCACTATGTAGCCCAGACTGGCCTTGAAGTCATAATGATTCTCCTGCCTCAGCCTCTCAGGTGCTGGAATTACAGGTGTGCGCCACCACGCCCGGCTAGGACTAGCATCAGTTATGAGCAGAGGCTGAATGTCTTCGGGCATGGCAGTGTTCAATTCATGTATTTACATATGGAACCATTATCTAGAGAAAGATTAGACCTTCAGACTGTACATTCAACCCCTTCACCTCAGCAGCTACCAGACCACCACCGTACACAAGTATTTCGTTTTTTCTCAGTTTTGTTTTATATTAGCACATGTTTACATTACATGATGATCACATCCTTGTGTGGAGTTGGTTACATGAACAGAACACATCTTGGTTCTTTTTTTATCCCCTTTGCCTGCCCTTCCTCCCTCCTCCTCCCTCTATCTCTTAATGTTCTTCCCATTCGAACAAAATCTGTCTTCCTACTATCTGTCTTTTATTTTGCTTTTTATTTATATTTTGTGTTTCTCTTAGAAGAGAAGCCATGTGACTATATACAAACATTTCTATCTGAAAGTCTTACAGTAACTTCACAGGAAGCTCATCCGTTTGGAAGGATTTTTTCAGTTTATTGAGTACTTGTGCTGGGGCAGATGCCTTTAAATCGAACCTCATTTGATCCTCACAGCATTCTGTGAGGAATACACTACTAGCATCATCGATTTCTACATCTGAGAAACCTGAAACTTGGAAATACATAAGTAACTTGGCCATGACGGGTGCCCCAGTTCTCCAGCCAGAGAAGCCCGCCCCCCCAAAGTGGTCACTTCAGGACCACACTGTGGGCCTGTCTGACGGCCTCGCCCATCTCTGGGAAGGCTCCCTTTGCTCCGGGCTTCTTAACAAGTTGCACAAGCACCATTAGATAGTGATGAGTCTAATAAGGGACCACAAAAAGCAACACGTATGGACTCAAGGTCCTGCTATGTGTCAGGAATTGCTATGACACTGGACCCGAGACAGTGTCTGATCAGAGCCAAAGTACAGACTCAGGAATATCAGCAGATGCTAATGGGAAAGCAGAAAGGCCTTTCAAGAGAAGCAGGACGTGATTCCTGCCTCAGAGTGTGTTTTCTAGGATAACTGTGGTGTCTGCCATATACACTGGTTCGGCAGCCCACTGTGGGTTAGGATTTATTTTTTCTGGCTGAAACAATGCTACATTGATAACCCAACCAGAAACTTAAAACTTAACCTCTGTCTGAAATTATGTGTCCCTCTGTTAAGCTTAAGTGTAGATGTAGTAATGGGAGCACCTTCCTCACAACTTCACTCATTCTTTAAAGATGGATATCAGTAACTTAGACCCTTATTGCCTCCTTGTCAAATCCCACAAAAATTATTTTAGAATCAGGCATGGTAGTGCACACTTGTAATCCCAGCACTCAGGAAGCTGAGGCAGAAGGATCACTGCAAGTTGGAGGCCATCCTGGGCTACATGGTGAGTTCCAGACCAGCCTGAACTAGACTGTGAGACCCTGACTCAAAAAAACAGGCAAAAAAACTATTTTAGGGAACCACCTCCCCACGAGAGTAATAAAGTCAGTCAGTTTGTTACTTTGTTCTTCCAAGAGTCTTTGCTATATTTTGGCCATATTCACGCTGTATAATAAGCTATCTCCTAAAAGCAAGTATATCATGCCATACCTCAAGAGGATGATTATTTGTATTTTTCCAATCTCCCTTTGCTCTCTTTCAGACCATTGGCATTGAGTTGGCCAGTGGGAGATTTCTAAACTTTTCACTCTTTCTGGTGCTCTTGGTCTTTAAGGACTGGGTTCATGAGGAAGGATGTGCTGGAATATTGGGGATAGGAAGGGAAAGAGAAACAGAAATGGGAGAACACCAAATGCTAACGTTGGCTACCTCTAAAGAAGGATGAGGGATCAGAGGGAGCAGACAAGAGAGGTGGTATGAAGAGATCTATCTTCCATATCTGTATACTTCTGTATTATGCAAGTATTTATAAAAGTGAATTAGTTTATAGCCTGTGTAATTAAAAAAAGTTGATAGATTTACAGGAAGAAACACTATGTGGTTGGTACCTTCTATTGACAAACCACTTAGAAAGACTTCAATAAAATACTCAACCCCAAACATTTAAGGCATTCTAACAGCCTTGCTAATGTGTAATATGCAGATTACTGCCTCCAGTCCCTAATATAAGATTATTTTCTGGTCTGTCCTTGGGCTATGGCAATGTTCAGGGCCCCTTAACCCAATGGCCATTACATTTGCATTTCTTTCCTCAAGAAAATAAGTGGAGACAGAAACATTCCATCTCCGTGAATGAAATGTCTCCCACCCTTTTCTCAAACCCATCTCTAAAGTTCAGTTTCTCGCTACACTGGTTTGCCTACAATTTTTTTGTTTGTTTGTTTTTTTGGTACTGGGGATCGAACTCAGGTCCTTGCGCTTGTGCAGCAGGTGGCGAAACCACTGAGCTAAATCCCCGGCCCTTGCCTACAGTATTATCAGATGAGAAAGCCTTAAAGTAAGGAATTTTTAAAGATCTGGGACTGTGAACTAAGTAAATGTGCTTGGAATTAAAAGCCAAAAAACCACAGAATTCTGGGGTGAGCAGACATGTATCAGATACCTATAGGGAGCTGTCATTTGGCTGACAGAGAACTAAGGCTCAGCGAGGCTGCCAGTGTCCCAGTGTTTGAGATTCCTGATGGGGAGTGCCTGGCCTTAGCCAGGAGGCTGGCGTTTATTGTTCAACTTAGTCCTCATTCGCTCACTGCTGGCCATGACTTCTCTCCTTCACACCTGTCTGAATGGTTTTCACTGGGTTAAAGTCACTCTCTAGCTGGCTAGAGGAACAGATCTCTCTGTGAGCACCTGCCAACAGCGCTAATGGTAGCTGGTGCTCACAATGCACGTAGGCCTGCTAAGAGGCGACAGTAGCAACTACTGGAAATTGTTCTTTAAATTGCACCTCTGATTGGTTCCCAAAACACAGTCTGGGCTAATGTGGATCTTCCCAGACTCTCCCCTTCAGTCTGGCAGAGCAGGTAGAATGTGGTCCTTTCCCAGCCTTTTTGTAGACAGGATTTCCTAATATTATAGCATGATCATGTCATTGTCCTTTGGCCTGAAGTAAACAAAAACTTCATGTTTTCCCTCTAGAAACTACGTCACTCCATGTAAAAGGCTGGAGCACTCATCTTGCACACAAGTTAGAGCTGTTTCACAATTAGCAACAGTTAGGCCACAACGAGAGGAGATTTGGAGGCCTCCACTCCCTTGGCTCGAGGTCCTCAGAGAAGTCCTTGACTTTACAAAGACCTGTACAGTCTGCTGGTTCTCTTCCAGCTGGGGTCGGAGCGCTTGAAACAAGAGGGGACAGGACTGCTGACACTGTGTCAGAGAGAAGCTCGTCTCATGGGCCAGCCTGGACACAGCCTATACATAAGGGAAATCTCGTCAACAAGCAGAGAGAACTGGGTTCAGCTGGGCACAGCGGCATTTGCCTGTAATCCCAGTTAAGCGAGAGGCCAGCCTTGGCAACTGAGCAAGATCCTGTCTCAAAACTGAAAATTTAAAAAGGGTTGGGGATGTTGCGCAGTGAGAGGCACGGGGTTAAATCTCCAGATCCATAAAAAAAGAAGGAAGAGAGAAAGGAAGGGTGAGCTACGCACAGTGGTACGTGCCCATCTTCTCGGAAGACTGAAGTGGGAGAATGATATCAGCCCAGGATTTTAAGACCAGCCTGTGCAGCACAGAGAGACTACCTCTCAGTCAATCAATCAATAAGTCATGCATCCTGATGAACTGTGCAACCCCCTCACCTCTTCAGGACACATTTGTGGGGCGGGGGTTGAGACAAGGTCTTGCTATGTAGTTCAGGCTGGCCTCAAACTCACAGTGATCTTCCTGCCTCAGTCTCCCAAGTGCTGGGATTACAGGCGCGCACTACTACACCTGGCTCATGACAGATTACTTCATAGAGCAGGGAATTCAGAATTAATGAGGCCAAGCCACTGGACAAATGACCACCACCTAGTAAGTGGCAGAGGTGGGACTGGAAGCCAAGTATCCTGCTAAACTATTCTTCACTGTCTTTTCCTGAACTGCATAGTAAGAAATAATGGCTACCTTTCTCCGCCCAGTACTGTATGTCCATTTCTTGCATGGAAGTTAGGTCTATCCTGCTGCATCTGATAGTTCAGTCTGCACAGGTTAGGCAAGATACACCTGGGAGCAGGACACCAGGTCTTCTCTCAGAATGGGATACCAGGTGAAGATTTCCTGACATTCACTCAGAAAAAGTGCCAGGAACTGCAAGGTGGGGAAGGAGAAGGATCATCTCTTGATCTGAACTTGAAATAGCTACAAGTTCATAGTCTCCTCTTGGCTACTAAGTACAAAAGCTGTTCTATGCCCTGTAATCCCAACATTCTGGGAGGCTTAAGCAGGAAAATTACAAATATAAGACAAGCCTGGGTGATTTAGCAATTTAGTGAAACTCTGCTTCAATAAAAATAATAAATAAATAAAAAGGGCTGTTGATGTAGCTCAGTGTGAAGGCCCTAGGTTCAATGCCCAGTAACAGAAACAAACAAAAAGTGGGCCTGCCCCAGGAAAAGGAAGACTGAAAACCGCAGACCAATTTTCAGAGCCTTAAGTTGATGGGATAGAACTCAGGCCAGTCAGATTGTCTGCATTCTAGACACTCCACTTTCCTCCCTCTCTCTGGCTGAAATTTCTTGGGCTCCTTCAAGGGTGTCTCTTAAATGAGAGCCCTCCATCTGGTTACTCTTTTCCTTCCCACTGAGTGATTTCATCTACTCCACTAACAGTGAATTCTTTAAAGTCTCTTTAATCAGTCTATTCCCCTTCTCTTTCCACTGTTACTATCTTGACTTTAGCCACCAGCATTTGTCAAACTGAATTTCTTGTCTGTCTCAAAAAATAAAAGCTAAAAACATAAATGGAAAATAAAAAGAACCAGAGATACACCTCAGTGAAAAGGCCCTGAGTTCAATCCCTAGTACAAAAAAGAAAAAAAGAAACACACACACATTTTAATAGTGTAAGAAAAAAAACTGACAACAAAACTTTGAAGCTGCAAAGACTTCAAATATTGGAATTGTCAGTCACAGAATGTGAAGCAAATGTAATCAATACGCTGAACACATAAAAATAAACTGGTAACTCCTAACAGTGGTCCACTGGTGGTCATTGGGGATAGAATTGGGTTAGAATCACTTTTTATTCTGTATGTTTATGTACTTTTCCGTATATATGTACAACTTGATAGTGAGAAAAATAGAAAGTAATGGAAATATAGAATACAGTAAATTAAAAAGGTATGTATGCGTACACAAACACAAGTATCAAGAAAGAGAGGTAGAGAACAGGAGGAAGAGAATCTGAAAGCTGAATGTTAACAACTACTCTTGCTAGGTGAGAACATAAAGTTTTCATTTGTTTGTGTTTATTGATTTGGATTTTTGGTGGTGTTGTTTTTGTTTTAGCGCTGGGGATTGAACCCAAGGATATTCTATCATCCCCAGCCCTTTTTATGTTTTACTTTGAGACAGGGTCTCCCTGAGTTGTCCAGGGTGAGCTTGGTGAGTAAAGGAGTTTATCAGGGGTTACTAACAGGGCACTAGATGACTTGCAGGCTGCAGCCCAGGGGGGACTTGAACTTCAAATCCTTCCATCTTAGTCTCCCGAGTAGCTGGGATTACAGGTATGCACCATCAAGCTCAGCTATTGTTTTTTTTTTAATTACTTTCACACATTTATTTCATAATTTTACAAAGTCCATGTATTTGTTAGGGTTCTGGCCTTGACCATTTCACTCCCTAGTCTAATTTTGCACTTGCCTTTCTTCTGAGGGCCAAGTTTCTGCCTACTACTGGCTTCGTGACCTTCGTGGTGCAGGCAGGCACCTCCAAGCCTGCATGTCTAAAAAAGTAAGCTTGTTATCTTTCACCTCCTCTGCATACATACACCACATCCCTGTCTCTCCACTCTCCTGCCAGAGTCCATCTGGGCTCCGGTCACCTCCTGGGACTGCTGCCCAAAAGTCCTGTCCACCTAATCTGAATCTTGTCCTCCGCGCTCCCGTAGGCGGGGCCTTCTAGAAGCCACACACATGCCTGGTAAGGGTTCTTGGAGTGAGGACTGCCACCTCGGCAGCTTCTACTCTAGCCCCTGTCTTCTCAGACATCCTCAGACTTTAACAGGAAATCAGTATTTCCCCCAAATCCAAACACAAACTCACCTAGAATACACAAAGCTCTGCTTCCTTCTACCTTACTATTGCCCTTAGCAAGGGGACACCTACTGTAATCTAAGGTTTGCCATGTTGAATTGCTCAACCTCAAAGCAGCTGCACCTCAAAAGGGCCGATCCCATCATTCACTGTATTCCTTTTTCCATCTCCCCTAAAGGCCCCAATACGTATACTTCACACAGTCTGGGGGTTTCAGGGTTTTTTATTTTTTTACTTTTTAAATTGAGTTATAACTTACATGTAGTAAAGCATATAAATCCCAAGTATACAATTTGATGAAGTTTTTAATATGTAAATATCCATGTAACCACAACATATAAACCATTTCTAGCACCTGGGAAGGTTCCTTTGCACCTTGATCTATGCCCCACCAGTACACAATTGTCCTAAAAGTAACTACTGTTGACCCTTATATCATGGCAATTCTTCCTTTTTTTTTTTTTCTTTTTGGTGCTGGGGATCGAACTCAGGTCCTTGTGTTTGCGCAGCAGGCGACAAAACCACTGAGCTACATCCCCGCCCATGGCAATTCTTTTTTTAAATTAATTTTATATAAACATAGTCATTTGGCGTTTATATTTTTGTGTCTGGTCTCTTTTAGTCACCACTATGTTATATAACCTATATTTTATGTGTTTGACACAATAATTTTGTGTATGGAGTACAGTGTGATACTTCAGTCCATTTATACAATGTGTAATGATCAGATCAGGGTAAATGGCATATTCATCACCTCAGACATTTATCATTTCTTTTGTATTGGGAACATTCACATAAATCTTTCTACTAGCTATTTTGAAATGTACAAATAATTACAACCTACACTTTAAATCATATCATTCCATATACTCTCCAAAATTTGTGGAAATCAAATCAAGTCATATTTTAAAAACAATTTGGTTAGGCTGGGGATTTAGCTCAGTGGTTTCCCCGCCTGCTACCCAAGCGCAAGGACCCAAGTTTGATCCCTGGTACCAAAAATAATAAATAAATAAATAAATAAATAAATAAAACATTTTAAAAAAACAATTTGGTAACAAGACAAAAGAAACGTTAGCTTCATATGAATATGAAAACTATAAAACTGACTATCTGTAAATGTATTAGTAGGTTCATGTATGAAATACCGTCACTTGGGGTAGGTTATAAGTAGATTAGCAGTGTAAATTAGTTTGAAAAATCCTGCAAATTAACTTAATTTACATAGAAGTTCAGTAAGTAAAAAGTATGGTCCAGTTTTTATAAAAGAACTGAATGACCTTTAAATATATTGAAGATTGGGGGAAAATAGCTGGCACTTAAAATTTATGCCCACATTTCCTCATGCTTGTGAGATTTAGAGCCCTGTGGCCAGCCTGTCTAGTCCTAAAGCTGCCTCGTTGACTCTTTCTCGCTGAGTGTGACATTTCAGAAGCCTCTGGACAGAACCTTCTGTGACATATGTGCGAAGAAAACACAAACCTGATACTGCTTGGGAAATGACAGGTTAATAAAAAGTACCCAAGTACTTATATTCTGTGAAATATAAGCTCTTTATTTTTAATCAATGTATATTATTTGAATAATTAATAAGTTTAATTTGCATTAAATATATCATTATACTTATAACGTAACTACACATTCCATCTGCTCAGCCACCTCCTTCTCCGGGCTCCGCCCCATGTGCTCACCAGCCTAAGAGCTGTGTCCCTGTGAATCCACCACGGCAACCTCAAACAGCGCCAGCTCTGCCCCTTTGGGACGCGGCAATCCCAGCCTGCACAGGCTCCCGAGTCAACCTAGACACCCGCTTCCGTTTTGACCAGCGTGGAATTAACCAGGATTCTCGCAGTTTCTTACTCGTACAACTGTCCAGATCCCTCCTACCACTGGTCTTCTAATTGGCCCCCGCCTCTGCTATTCATGCCTTGAATCCAGCTGGTTAGCTGAACGTGCTTACTGCTTAAGCACCTACTTTGTGAAGTTGTGTAGATGGCTCCCAGCCCACGAAGACAAGGAACCCACTTGTTGCCAGGGAGGGGTTTACAGTATGGTTGAGGGAGTCATTGGGTACAGCAGAAATGTTTGACAAAAGATGAACCTTGGTTCTGTCAGTTCTGCTACTTACTATCTATATGACTTTGTTCAATCTCCCCAGCCTCGTTTTTTTACAGTAAAATGGGGATGTTAATGCTCACTTTCCATAGCTGTTGTATTAAAGTTATGAAAGCCTGGCACATGGTAGGGGCACAACAATGCACAATAGTGGCCAGTGTATCATTTCAGCTATATATTTTTAGGGTCAGCATTTATCTGAATGGAGATTACTAGTTTTTCTAATCCAGCGATTTTACCTTATAAAAGTCACCATTTCTTGCAGGAGGTTTACTCTGGCACATAGGAGATGGTGGATAAGTGTTAACAGAAAGTGATGTCTGAAAGACTCTTCAGCAAAATGCCGATTTTCAGATGGTGGGATTTCACCAGATATTTTGTTCTTTATATTCTTCTGTGTTGCTTGAGTTATTTTTTAACCCGGAGCACATATAATTTGTATAAAAATTGCACAAAAGCGTTGTTGAAATTTACCGTCTGAATTCAAGAGTTCTCGTATCATCTTTCCAGTACCACATTCCTAATCGTAATCCCCACTGCTGTAAATGAGATGAATGCAGCAAAAGTGATTAAAATTCAGTTTACAACTCACACGGCACAATAAGTCTTTAATAATTCCTATTAGCTGCTCTGCTCTTTATTCAATAAAGATATAGGATCTTAATTTTTTTTTCTTTTAACTTGAAGCCAGGATTTTATCCTTTTTTTTGTTTTTGGGATGTAGTTTCAGTAGGATGGGAGGGAGGGAGGGAGGCAGAAAAGAGGAGAGAAAAGGCGGAGAGAAAGGAAGGGAGGAAGGAAGGAAGGGAGGGAGGGGAGGAGGGAGGGAGGGAGTGCACGTAGCTCAAGTCTTAATAAAGACACAATAAACTGACCCCCAGCGTAGCCTCAGCCTATTAGACGCTCACAGGAGGAGCAGCCTGCTCTCCAACCGCGCTTGTCCAGGGTGGCGGAGAGCAGCCCCCGGCCTGTGCCCCACAGCTGGGCTGTTTGGTTTTCAACTACCCAGCCAGAGGCGGGATCATGGGCTTTCAAGGAATCTAAACCTCTGCCTGAGGATTCTGGCTGCCTGCAGAATCCACTAGAGAAGTTTTGTTTTTGTAGGCGAGTAGGCCCTGCGGCGCGGGGCAAGGGGCTCAGCAGAGGGCAAGGGGGCGTTGCCGGCGCCCCGAGGGCCGGCGGTTCTGCAGGGCCCGGCTTTCCGGCCCCTGGGCGGGGACTCAGGCTTCACTTATATCCAGCTGGGAGGGGTCTGCAGGTCCAACCGCTTCCTCCTCGAATAAAACTCGGGCACTTGGTTCACGGTCTTCCCCCTCGGCCTCACCAGGTCGCCCAGGCTACGGGGGGGGGGGGATTGGGGCGGGGCCTGGAGGGCGGGCGCCCCCTCTCACCCCCACCCCCACCCCTCGCGCCCCGAGGTCCCCAGCCTCGCACCTTGCTCGGGGGCATCTGGCTGCCTCCCCAGGAGTAAAACTTGCAGAATTAATTCTTCGCGGCATTCCGTGGAGACCACTACTACTTTAGTAGGAATCCAGGTTGAACCTAGGTTGGCACTGGGGGCTGCAGGGAGGAAGCTGTGTAGTCTAGTGAAAGAGAACCATACACAAGAGAATAGGTTTTCGAAACCTTTCTGCTGCTTCACTATGTAGTTGTGGAACGCAGGACAACTCTGAGCCTGCCTTCTGAAAATACCCAAATTGGTGGTTATTAGAATTTAAAAGGAGGAATGTGTGTAAAGCACTAGCGTTCGTAGATACTGAAAATCAGCGTTGCTGTAAAAAAAAAAGAAAACAAAAAACCCAAACGTGGTGTCAGTGGATAGTCAATATTTTCTCACACTTCAAATCATGTATTTGTAATTTCTTTTCGCAACCGAGGTGACATGGAGGTCCTGGTTGATGCTTTTCTCCCGGCAACACCGATGTAAGCAGTAACACTAGATGAAGCAACAGGATTGGGCTTGCGTGTGTCCCTTTTACTGGTATGAGACGCTCGGTGGTGATTACATACTCCCATAAGCTTTCAAACTACGCCAATAGGCAGCCACTGCTTTCTCTACCACTGCCCTCCCTGTCTCACTACTAGGTCACACACAATCACTGGTCACACCGACTCGTGTGCAGCTCACTGGAGTCCATTCTGTATCTGTTCACATTGGCTCACTTATTTAGGAAGCCCACTTGTACACCGGCAGGCTGGCAGGAGGCTGTGGACAAGGCTTACTTACTACAAAATGACTCGCTTGGAAGTGAGAAACGTCCCGGACGCCAAGAGCTTTTTCACCTAGCTGTGCATGTGACTTGAGGTGGAGAGAACCGAGAGAAATGAGATAAAGCTCCAGAGAAGAGAAAGACCAAGGAATGTGGGCGGGATCCAGGCTTCACAGTCATTTTCTAGAAGAATGTGGCCAGTAACCCTCTTTAGTTTACACCCAGATGTGTGGAGAAGCACTAACAGAAAAGCAGTGATGTTATACATCCCATCGTAGACTAAGCTCGGCCTGTCTAGTGTACAAAACTAAAATAAAAAATATTAAGTTATTGAGAACTAAAAAAAAAAGTTATTGAGAACTCAAAATAGTAGCCACCTAAAAGTTACATAAGTTATTTCACACGTGGTGGAAGAATGCAATATTTAAAACTTCAATAATTCTGCGGGACCATCTTATACGTCTCTATCTCCTTACCCTAACAAAAGACTTGGAAAAAAGATTGTTCTTGTATCTCTAAATCATTACTCTAAAATGTGAGTCGCTCATTTCCCAGGCTACATTTTTCACCAATTAGGTTTAAGAAAATAAATTAGGAATTCACAACTTAAATTGGAAATATTTTTCCCTTTAAAGAAAAAACTTCATGATGTTATAAAGTATCTTCTAAGTATCTAATTCTAAGTGTCCTATAAGGGAAAGACTTTTTTTATGTAAGAAAGAGAAACTCTTCAAGGTCATAAAAATATCTAAGTTGCTAGACATTATTCTGCATGTTTATAGTATGAAAGCATCATAATGATACATTTTCATACTATCATAATTTTACTTAAAATTTTAAAATTTTCCATGGAAGAAAATGGCAATGCTTAATTTGAACACCATCATTTTTGTTTATTTCCCTACCTTCAATTTACAACCTAATCTACACTGAAAGGGGTGAAGGAAAGGGCCCGTGATTTTTGTTTTTTAAGAGAGGGTCTTGCTTCATAGTTCAGGCTGGCCTTGAACTCACTATGTAGCCCAGGCTGGTCTCGAACTTGTAGCAATCCTCCTGCCTCAGCCTCCCAAGTGTTGGGATTATAGGTATGCGCCACCACGCCTGGCGAGGGCCTATGATTTTGATTTGTTCTGAGGGAAAGCCACTTCAACATTGTGTCAGCCTATTAAATTTCAAAAATGCGTATACTCTAAAATGTTTCTATTCCAAGAGCAAAATCAAAAATAAACTGGAAGCCAGGTGTGGTGGCACTTGCCTGTAATTCCAGAACTCGGGAGGCTGAGGCAGGAGGATCACTGAATTCAAGGCCGGCCTGAACTGCATATAGAGACCCTGTCTCAATAAATAAATAAATAAATAAACAAACAAACAAACAAACTGTACTCTTTCTGAAGATCCATAATTCGTCTAGGGATAAAATTCTGTGTCTAATTTCTACTTCTTTTTTATTTTTTGTGTTTTTTGTTTTGTTTTTTGTTGATTTTTTTGGTACCAGGGATCAAACTCAGGTCCTTGCGCTTGTGAGGCAGGCAGCAGAACCACTGAGCTAAATCCCCGGCCCTAAATCCCCAGGATGTGTGCTTTTTGTTTTGAGACAGGGTCTTGCTATGTAGTCCAGGCTGGCCTTGAACTCATGGCAATCCTCCTGCCTCAGCCTCCTGAGTGCTGGGATTACAGGTGTGTGCCATGAAACCCAGCTTAATTCCTAATTCTGTAAGTACTCCAAATCAATTTACTCATACCTATTTTCACATTACCTAAGGAACTGAATATTCTTGTTTCTTAATCTAAACATATAGCGTCTGCCAAAAAAATGTATACACATTTCACAGTTCACTGTACTAATGAATGTCTAGAAGTGAATGGCCACCACTCTGAGCACCTCTTATACTTACTTGTAGAGGCCAAAGGTAACTTGCATTAATCTCATGATGTCTCAATAACTTTAGTATTAGAATATTTATACAAGTTTTTCTTTTCCTGATATATATATTTTTTGGCAGACTCTGTATATTCCCTTAGGAATTGTCTTGTGACACGTGGATATGAAGTTTTTTTAAAAACTTCAATTCCAAAAAAAAAATAAAAATAAAATAAAATAAAAACTTCAATTCCAGTGTTCAAAAGCAAGAGGGAATATGCCTCACAACTTTTATAAATTATATTCAATTTAAAGTAGGAATGTCTTATAGGCCCATTTAGCTTGATAGAAACAGATCTTCAGATTTCATGCAGGTTGTATGGTTGAATACATATATGGTTGATATACATTCATTTGCTTGCATCCCTAGCATAACAAGTTCAGCTGATGCTAATTATTCCTCCCACCATAATTTAGCTCTGTCCTTTCAGCAAGTATGTTTCCACTGTTACTTGACTACATACAGCTCCTCTAACATCTTCTAAGGAGTTCTCAGTTCTCAGGTTACCAGTTGCAGTTGACTCCTGGAAACACTGAAAGGCTATTTTAGTGATTTTAACCTAGTAATAGTCAAATCTTGGTAAATCTGAGAAGACAGAATTAAATAAATGTTAGTGTAATAGCAAGTTTTGAGACAGAGTCTTGCTAAGTTGCCCAGGCTGGGCCCAAACTTACAATTCTCTGGCCTCAGTCTCCCGGAACCATTGTTCACTTTGTGATTAATGTCTTCCAAAGTAAGGTCTAAAATGAGTCATACTAGCTGGGCATGATGGGGCATATCTGTAATTCCAGCACTCAGGAGGCTGAGGCAGGAGGGTTGCCACAAGCTCAAGGCCAGCCTGGCTACATAGTGAGTTCAAGGTCAGCCTGAATTACAGAGTGAGACCCTGTGTCATATAATAAAATAATAAAAGTCATACTAATACAATATTGCCCTTACAGAAAGATTATTGTTTTGAAGTTAATGCAAGGAATAAACAGTTTCAACAAATAAAGGACTCATAAAAGGTTATTATCCTGGTAAAACTCATGTTAAAATGCACTGTAGGGGTGGGGGTTTTGGCTCAGTGGTTCCACCGCCTCCCTTGCAAGCACAGGGTCCTGAGTTCGATCCCCAGTACCAAAAAAAAAAAAGTCACTGTAAAGCTACACCTAATTCTGAGAGTATCCAAGTACTTTGATGTGATGCCGTCTGTACTCAGTGAAACTCTTAAAATGCTCATTGCCAAAAACTGTTCACCAATGTAACATTAGCACTGATAACCGGAGGTATCTTCACAGCTTTTCAGATTGTAAAAATTCCCTTTATGTCTTTAAAATTATTTTGAAGCAATTTCACAACTATTTATCTTCCTCCCCTGATCCAAGTGAGATTTTTTTTTTGGTACTAGGGATTGAACTCGGGACCTTGCGCTTGTGAAGCAGCGGCGGAACCACTGAGCAAAATCCTGGCCCCATCCAAGTGAGATTTTTATTTTTTTAAAAAATTCTTCTTTGTATATAGGGTCAGCTGTTGTGTGAGGGTCATTACCAAAGCCCAATACCTTCAAGCTAACTTGTTTTCTAATTTTTAAATTACCACTCATACTATTGTTCCAAAAATTAATCTGTACATGACACAAAAGGGCCTACTACTAAATTGAAAATATAGCTTCTATCATTACCTTAGAACATGAAGCAAATCTCTATCACTTGGACAGAGATATTAAAATGTCTCTGTGCAATGAAAACATTAGATTAAAACAAGCATTTTTCAACCAGCATTACTAAATGTCTCCCAAGTTCCCCTTAAGCAGAGTAAATCAGAACAGAGCAGAAAAATAATAAAAGTCAAGCCAGGCAGTGGCAAATACCTGTAATACTAGCACTTAGGAAGGCTGAGGCAGGAGGAGTTTGAGTACCACACAGACAACTTATTAGCAAGACCCCATAAAATTTTTTAAAATAAAGCGGGTGTGGGGGGGAATGGGTCAGTGGTAGAGTGCCCCTGGGATAAATTCTGAGTCCTGAAAAAAAAAAAATCAACCTCCTTTTCCTAAGGATATGAATTTTAAAGCTTAAGCCCAAAATAGTGGATCTCCAAAGGGTTGAAATATATTATTATCTAAAACAATCTCAACTCAGATGTATAGGAAAATGGGCAAGATAGATACTAACAAAATATAGTATTATCTTGTAGTTTGCCTTTTAAAATAGAATGTTTTTGTAGTGATTTGAAGCAGATATTGCAAAAGCATTAAGATTTTCAAATCAGAAAAAATAATCTATCGTTTTCCCTTACCTCCCAAGCCATTACAACTGCTGGAAATGTTCTTATAAAACATGCCATAAGCTCAGATACTGAGTTGTTTTACTAAAAAATTAAGAGTTAAAGAAAGTTTGACCTGATAGGGACTCTTGACATTAAAGTCACTTTAAAACTTGTCTCCTGGCTCATGTTTCTGGCACCTGTATGTCACGAAAAGCAACTTGTTTCCATATACTGTGCTACTTTTAGCCACTAGGAGAAGGCAATATCTGCCCCTCTTTTACTACCCGACAGAAAAGTAATTTTATACTTAACCCTAGAATACAGCTTGTATTTTCCTGGAATATTCGGGTGGGTTTTCATTTGAAAAGTTGGAGTTCCTGGTCAAGTGGCTTTATTAAAGAGGGGGTAGGAAAGTTTACCCAGATTCTTCTCCCTTTAAGTTGTTGGTAATTCAAGGCAGGAACTTTATCTGAGAATTAGAGAAGACTGGGTTAGATATATTTTACACCATCCTAATATCTTGAAGACCAACATGAGTAAAACATGAGGAAAAAATTGAAAACAAGACAGTAATGTTGAGATCAACTTCAGTTTTATTTTAAATTCACAATTATACATTTCTTTGCAAAAAAATATACCTATCCTTAACATTACTACAATGTTACTTTAAAGTAGTACATAAAAATAAACAATTCAAGTTCCTATATATTTGTTACCAAGCTTCCAAAGAACAGGTGTGGAAACGTCAGGTTTCTCAAATCTCCATGCACAAACTAAGCTAACCAAAAATGCTCAAATCACACAAAATGCCTTAAGGAGAAAACTCAATGCTTTTTTTCAAAATCAAACTTTAGAACTAATCTTTTATAGTTATACTAGGTTGTTGTTACTTTCCTTTCATATGCATATATCGGGTTAACGCCTTCCAACAAGAGATCTACTTGGCACAAGGACATTTCAAAGAAGAAAACAAAACAAAAGGAAAAAAGAGAAAGGAAAAGGGGTTTACGTTGACTGCGTGCAAGCATCAGTCCACTTCTTCGATGGTGGGTCCCCCGGAGGCTCCAGCCCCCCCGCCGCCGCCGCCGCCAGGACCGCCTTGGTAAAGCTTGGTGATGATGGGGTTGCACACTCTTTCCAGCTCTTTCTGCTTGTGTTCGTACTCGTCTTTCTCTGCCATCTGGTTCCGATCGAGCCAGCTGATCACTTCCTGACACTTGCTGAGGATCTTGCTCTTGTCCTGCTCGCTAATCTTGCCCCTCAGTTTCTCGTCTTCTACTGTCTGCTTGATGCTGTATGTATACGACTCCACTGCGTTTTTGGCTGCGACGCGGTCGCGATTGGCCTCATCTTCCGACTTGTAGCGCTCCGCCTCCTGCACCATCCGATCAATGTCGTCCTTGCTCAGACGACCCTTGTCGTTGGTGATGGTGATCTTGTTTTCTTTACCGGTGCTCTTGTCGGCGGCAGTGACGTTGAGGATGCCGTTGGCGTCGATGTCGAAGGTCACCTCGATCTGGGGCACGCCGCGGGGCGCCGGGGGGATGCCGCTGAGCTCGAAGCGGCCCAGCAGGTTGTTGTCCTTAGTCATGGCCCGCTCGCCCTCGTACACCTGAACCAGCACGCTGCTCTGGTTGTCCGAGTAGGTGGTGAAGGTCTGCGTCTGCTTGGTGGGGATCGTGGTGTTCCTCTTGATGAGCGGGGTCATGACGCCGCCGGCCGTCTCGATCCCCAGCGACAGCGGGGTCACGTCGAGCAGTAGCAGATCCTGCACGTTCTCCGACTTGTCCCCGATGAGGATGGCCGCCTGCACTGCGGCGCCGTAGGCCACCGCCTCGTCGGGGTTGATGCTCTTGTTCAGCTCCTTGCCGTTGAAGAAATCCTGCAGCAGCTTCTGGATCTTGGGGATGCGGGTGGAGCCGCCCACCAGCACGATCTCCTGGATCTGGCCCTTGTCCAGCTTGGCGTCGCGCAGCGCCTTCTCCACCGGCTCCAGGGTCCCGCGGAAGAGGTCTGCGTTGAGCTCCTCGAAGCGGGCGCGGGTGATGGACGTGTAGAAGTCCACGCCCTCGTAGAGGGAATCGATCTCGATGCTGGCCTGGGTGGATGAGCTCAGGGTGCGCTTGGCCCGCTCGCAGGCCGTGCGCAGCCGCCGCACCGCGCGCTTGTTGGGCGCGATATCTTTCTTGTGCTTGCGCTTGAACTCCTCGGCCAGGTGGCTGACCATACGGTTATCGAAATCCTCGCCGCCCAGGTGGGTGTCGCCGGCTGTGGACTTCACCTCGAAGATGCCGTCCTCGATGGTCAGGATGGACACGTCGAAGGTGCCGCCGCCCAGGTCGAAGATGAGCACGTTCTTCTCGCCGCCCGCGCGGCCCTTCTTGTCCAGGCCGTAGGCGATGGCCGCCGCCGTGGGCTCATTGATGATCCGCAGCACGTTGAGGCCGGTGATGGTGCCCGCGTCCTTGGTGGCCTGACGCTGCGAGTCGTTGAAATAGGCGGGGACCGTGATGACCGCGCTCTGCACCTTGGCCCCCAGGTAGGCCTCAGCGATCTCCTTCATCTTCGTGAGCACCATGGAGGAGATCTCCTCCGGGAAGAAGGTCTTCGTCTCCCCCTTGTACTCCACCTGCACTTTGGGCTTCCCTCCCTCGCTCACCACCCGGAACGGCCAGTGTTTCATATCCGACTGCACTGTGGCGTCCTCAAACTTCCGCCCGATCAGCCTCTTGGCGTCGAAGATGGTGTTGGTGGGGTTCATGGCCACTTGGTTCTTGGCCGCGTCGCCGATGAGGCGCTCGGTGTCTGTGAAGGCCACGTAACTGGGGGTGGTTCGGTTGCCCTGGTCATTGGCGATGATCTCCACCTTGCCATGTTGGAAGACCCCCACGCAGGAGTAGGTGGTCCCCAGATCGATGCCGATGGCCGGGCCGCGGGAGCACATCCTGAATGGAAGAGGGGCAAACTATATTGGGGCAAGAAAGGAGGGAGCGGCGGTCCTCGGCGTCAACTAACGGTTGTACCTCTCCGCTCCCCCTCGAGCGCACCCAGCATCTCCCGCTCCCTCCCACCCAGCTCCTCGGTCTTATAGCCACCTCCCCCTACACTCCCACAGCCAATCCACTCCCGGCTCCGCCCACACACATTCTTCCAGCCCCACCACAGGCTTGCCTGTGTCGGAGTGACGGGCCCCTGGTCCAACAAATATATAGTTGGGTGAGGGGCGGGACCCCGGCAGGGCCGAGAGGTGGCCGTTATGCAAATAACTCCTCGCAACCCCTTGGGGGCGTTAGGCTCGCGCACTGAGCCAGGTGCACCAAGTTTTTAGCGAGCTTTGTTTTTCCTAAAGAGGGATTCGTCGACGACCCTCGGATTGGCAGGACACGCGATCAATGAGAAGCGCGGACTCCAAAGGGAGGGTGGAACCAGGGCGTGGCGCGCGGAGGAGGCAGGGAAGGGAAGTAGGTTGGGGAGCGCTGTGAGCTTGTTCCCTCATTTCCTTAAGGTATGAAGTGATCGGTGTTGGCGTCCTGACAAACGTAGCACGCGGGAGAGAGGAAATTCAGCCCGAGTTGGTTACACTGAATGAATAAATAAGACCGAACCCCATTTTTTACTCTGCCCCTGGTCCACGCCGAGACTCGCCTGTTCCAGGCTCAGGCATGGGGCGGCTCCCTGGGCGGGGCGGAGACCAGACGTGGAGCGCGGCTCCGGCGGGCAGTCCCCTCCGGGTTTTCCGTGACGAGTTTGGCAGCGTCTACGGGGAGCGCGGGGAGGAGCCGGGAGAGTCCGGGCGTTTCCCGCGCTGTAGCGAAAGCCACTCTTCCCTCGCCTTCCTGTGTTCTGCCGTCCTGCCGCTCTGAGCTTCCTGGTTTCGCGTCCCCTTTCTCTCCACTGCCTTGCTTATTTTCCGCGTTACCCGCCTTTCTGGGTTCTCCTTGAAGGTCTGCAGAGCCCGCGCGTACTGCACCGAGGAGCGACCCGGCCTGGCTCCCGCCCTATTCGAGGGGTCGGCGACCGCGTCTTTCCCCGGGGCGGAGCCACCGTGGAGCGGACTCCACGGCGAGGGTCGAGGGACGGGAGCGCGGGCGGGCGGGGAGGGAAGTTTTGCAAAACTGTCTGCACCAGGTGGTGGGAAGAAGTCCTGTTGCTGGGCTGCCGAGGACAGTGAGTGACGTGTGGGTTCACAGAAGGGGGAGAGCAGTGGAGTTATTCCTACGGGTTTTATAGGTGAAAGGAGGAAAAAAGGACTGGCGGAGAGGTGCAACGTTTCCAGAGAAGTGCTGCAGGAGTGCTGCGGAGCGGAGGGGGGACGTGGAGCCTGAGGGCGGAGTGGCTGTGGCCACCTGAAGTTTGTCCACCAAGCAGGTAGCAAAGGCAATCCACTCCCACGCCACCCCATGCTGGGGATGGAAACCCAGGGCCTTACAACTGAGCTACAGCCCAGCCTTTTAAAATTTTGAGACAGGGTCTCCCCAGATCGCTACTTGCCCAGGCTCAGTTCAAATTTGTGAACCTCCTGCCTCAGCCTTCACACCTGTATAGGAAAGATTCTTACACAGATTGTAGTGTGGGCAAAGAGGACGGCAGTATGAGTTCTGTGTAAATTAGTGACCCTAGAAGGGTGAGATGAGAGTACAGGACAAGAAATTCTCTACGGGTGGGCAGGATACATTCAGGAGCTTTCTGAAAAGCCCAGGGCTTTTCTTGAGGCTGTGGGAGGGGAGAACCATCCTTTGAAGTGGGCTAAATGATATGTGTGTGTGGACCGTATAAAAGTTATTGGAGACAGCGCTAGGGAAGAATTTATCTGAGAAACACAAAAGCTACCTGTGTCCAAAAGGTAATGGTGAGAGAATTTTGTAAATCAGTGAACATTTAAGATTTTATCTAATCGTATATGTAACCTTCTAGTTTTAAAAAACACATTAATTTATTACTCTCACTGGTTAAATAATGTTGGCTTTTACCACAAATTCTGTCTTGGAAGCATGGAAGAAAAAAGATTTGAAATAGGATAACATTTGAAAACAAGGACAAAACAAAACATTTTTGGTTTTTTGGAACTGGGAATCGAACTCCGGGCCTCTGTTTGCCAGGCAGACTCTGTGCTGCTGAGCTACATTCCCAGCCCAAAACAAAACATTTCTAATGGAAGCTGACATAAATTGTGAAACTGATCTCTTGCTTTTTTCTTGGAAATTCTTGTCATATTGTTTTGTAGCTCTTTAAGATGGAATTATTACTAATTAATTCCTTGAGATGATACGGTTTGCAATAGGGCTCCAGCCACACCTGAAAGAACTGTGAGAAGCACCAGTTCTTCGTGTCATCAGTACTCAGTCAACCTTTACACACTTAAAGCAAGACTGCAAGAAAAGCAAGCAGGCCAAAGTTCTCCCACACAAACACTAAAATTAGTGCTTCAAAGGAGTTCTTTGAATATTAACTATGTCCTACCTTTGTGCACAGTTATTTGCAAACAAATCTTGCAATCTCACCACCCCACTCATCGTTAACATAGCCTTCTGAAATGACAGGAACTATGCCTGCATTTTCATTAGCCATACATATTTTTTTCTGCTCTAACTTTTCACTTGGTAAATGGATGTTGTCAAAGAAGGGAAAAGAAAAAATATGAGAAAAGGAAAAAATGAAAACAAAGTCTCTCTGAAAATAGGGAAGGGTGGAGGGCATGAAGGGAGGGCAGGGAAATGGGGAAAAATAAGAACTAACATACATCATCTAAAGGTACAAGATCCCAATGATCAATGTAACTGTATTGTATACCTAAAATGTACCAATAAACTTAATGAAAAAAAGATGGATGTTGTCTATATGGCATCTTGAGCTTTTCCCAAAAGATGCAGTATCTGCATTTCGATTTTTATAGGGCCGAAACTTCTGTAACAATAGAACATTAGTACATACTGATTACTCTTGGAATTTTTACATTTCCCTTATTTGCATTAATTTCTAAAATCTTATTTTTTATAATTCTTGCTCAGAATTCATTAAAAACATAATATATTAAAATGATTAAATAAAATTTATGATCAAATAATATTCATCCATGCCATTCAATAGTGCAGTAAAACAAGTGATCCCTACCAGAGAGAATATCAGGTAATACAATCCTTCTGGAAGGCTTTATGACAATACTTTTTCTTCGCCTTAAATATGATCAGACCCTTAATATTAGTCTTGGTGGGACTCATCTTAAGGAAATGATAGAAAATGCAAGTAGTATTATTAATGTTAACAACAATAAAAAGGATATAATTAAGTATCCAACAATAAGAAAATGATTATATATAGTGCATGCATATCATAAACCATTATGCAGCTATAGAAATTGTTTCCAAGATTTTTAATGACAGGAAACTGTTCTTGATACAATTATGTGAAAAAAGAAGATACAAGATTTTTCTGTCTTCTTATCCTATATGTAGAATAGTTTTATGTGTGAAAAATACTTTAAAATCTAGATGGTAGGATTATTAGTTTTTCTAAGCTCTTTTATATGTACTTTTATAGCTCTACTTATTTATTTTGGTTTTTTGAGACAGTGTCTTGCTGTGTAGTTCAGGCTGGCCTTGAACTCATGGTGATCCTTCTGCCTTAGTCTCCTTGAGTCCTGGGATTAAAGGTTTATGCCACTATGCCTGGCTACAGACTTTTAAAATGACAATGTTCAGTTGAAACAAAGCTCACGAGTCCTATCACTTACATAGAAATTAATACTGATTTTCAACAAGGGAAATCTGTTTGCTGGATTATAAACACTGGAGTGTTTTAAAAATAATTTTAAAAATCCAAAGAATGAGGTTTCACACAGATTAAATGGTAGGGAAAAAAAAAAAACAAGTGTTTTACCATACATCAAACACTCCAGTTAATCCCAGCACCCAGAAGAGTTCTCAGAACACATTAGTAACTCACCAGCTCAATGTTTGCAGGATTTAGGGGTTTTTCGTGCTGGAGATCTAACCAAAGGCCTCAAGTGTGCAAAGCACACACTCTACAGTTACATCCCCAGGCCTCTCGGTATTTATTAAAAGTGATTTGAAGTACATTATTTAAATAAAAACCCATAGGGGCCAGGGATTTAGTTCAGTGGTTCCAGCGCCTGCGGTGTAAGGTCCCAAGTTCTATCCCTGGTACCAAAAAAATAAATAGATAAAAATAAATAAATAAATAAATATAAACCCACAAATAGTAATTTCATTTTTCTTCTGGTAGGCGGAAGATCCCTCGATACCTCTTACATTTCTGCACAGATGAAAAGTTGAAAGAAATTCACATCTAAAAATATCTGTAGCAGAGATATAAAGGTGAATAAGTTGAAGTCTAACACCATGTGCGTGGGTATCAGGCCTGCCTGGAGGAGGAATAACCAAACAAGATTAAATTTCACAGAATTACTAGGAAAGAAAAAAAAATGTGTGTATTTTCCTGGAACCCTCTCAATCACCATCCAGGCATAATCTTCACAAGGGTTGTGAATTGTTTGGAGGATGTAATGTTAGCATGAAGAGAAGGTAGACTAGTAACAGCCAATAATCTGAGCACCTTTCAACAAACTGGAGTTCAAGTAATGAGGACATTTAAGATCTCCATAGGCCAGGCGTGGTGGTGCACAGCTGTAATCCCAACACTTGAGAGGCTGAGGCAGGAGGATTATTATGAGTTCGAGGCCAGCCTGGACTACACAGTGAGACCCTGTCTCAAAAAACAAACAAAATCCTCTATAAATACTGCCGTTTTACAATTATTTGATTAGTGCCCTGTCTTAAATTTTTCAATCAGTAATTTTTACTTCCTTACGGTACTTTTAGTTGATTTTCAAAATAATTATTAATGTTCAGTTAAAACAAAGTTCATGGGCCAGGGATTTAGCTCAGTGGTTTCGCTGCCTGCTGCGCAAACGCAAGGACCGGAGTTCGATCCCTGGTACCAAAAAAAAAAAAAAGAAAGTTGTTCTGAGAATGGAATTAACCCTCTGAAAGAACTAAATACTGTATTAGTGGATTTTTCCTTGCACTTTATGAGGCAGGTGCAGTGCCACTGAGCTAAATCCACAACCCTAATTATTTCTTTTTGAGAAAACCCAATTTGTTGTCATCTATATCTGCCATGATATTTAGTATTTTTCCAATCATTCTTCTATATGGAAAGAAATAAGAAGTCAGGATTTGGTTATTAGAATTTTAGCTAATTTTCTTGGTGCACTTCTTTTTTTTGTTTTGTTTTGTTTTTTGCTACCAGGGATCAAACTTAGGACCTTGCACTTGCCAGGCAGGTGGCGCCACCACTGAGCTAAATCCCGGGCCCTTGGTGCACTTCTTTTTTGGGGGGGTTCCTGGGATAGAACTCAGGTCCTTGCACTTGCGCAGCAGGCAGCGATGCACTTCTTAAACTATGCAGGAAGACCATAATTAGCTGTATCATTTATTCAGTTATTGTAGTATTAGAGGATAGGAGTTGATAACTTTTCAGCCTATTTTTTTAAAGATCCAGGTTGAAAATAATACAGTATAAATAAAAGTAATATACAGACAATTTAACTTCTGAACATAGAGGAGGACTTTTTATTAGGTAAAAGCAATGGATTTAAAAATGTAACAAAAGTACTTATGTAATCCAAAAATTCCACTTTATACTAATATACAGAAAATAATCACATCATTGAATGCATCTATACCGTTTATAATAATTGTAGTTCATTACACTTGCAGTTAATACACTCAAAATTTAAGCCATTTTTCTTTAGTAAATCTCATTTAATAAAAATTTCATCAATCAAAAATTACTTTTTGAGTCATTTTGAGTCATTTTTGAGGCACCTTTACTTGTAATATTCTATCTTTTATTTCCTATTTTTTTTAGATGCTTGCAATTCTAAATGCTTCATGTTCCCAAAAAACATTATATAGTATTTTCTACTCTAAGACTTTGTTTTGTTTTGTTTTTGGTACCGGGGATCGAACTCAGGTCCTTGTGCTTGCGCAGCAGACAGCGAAACCACTGAGCTAAATCCCTGGCCCTAAGACTTTGTTAAACTTCATCTCAAAGCAGTTCATATGTATTTGAACTCTTTAGTGAATTTCTCTCTTCCTTTCCCCCATATCTATTATTCCATTGTAATGAACTCTTTCTCTGATTTTCAGCTAGTCTAATTATTAGAATGAATATTCAAGTTATCATCCAACCTTACAGCTAGGGTTTTTAAGTGACTGCACTTCTGCATATACTATTAAGTATACTTTATGTTAGATCTTTTTGTGAAATGCC